AAATTAACTAGTTCTACGACATTTTCGAGAGGCTTTAACAGGCCAGGTCGCTTGTACGTTTTGTAATAAACTTGTTTATTCAGAAAACCGCTGTTAGTATAAACAGAACAAAGCAAAACAAATAAATTTTTGTGAAAAATAAAAACATAACCTCTTCACCGAATGTTTGATAAACCAGAAAAAGGTTTCTTGTTTAATTTATACCGGTTCGGATTGCTCACTAATTAAAGAAAATGTATCCACCTTATTATCTTCAGGAATTAAACCATACTGTATTACTCTTGGAGGATTGAGGTCCGGCTCTGTACGAACTATTGTCAAAGTTATACTAAACTTACAAAATAACGTTGTTAATGTTGATTTAGAGTTTTTCCTAGTACCGAGTGACCAACTATCATATGATGCAATCATAGGCAGGAATATTACAGATTGTGAAAACGTTAACATTATAATGCACGTTGGTACATTTGGCGTTTTCAACTTAAAAAATATATAATCTTCCAAACATTTTTTTTAAATAGTGATATTATTAGCTTTACTTTGCAAGAAAAATTAAAATTGCGTATGTAGCCGTTGTGAAGATATACACTTAAATGTATTTTTTTATAAATTAATTTACAACCTTAAGCTTAGTCTCTGTGTATCGCCTCTTTTATTGAGGTTTTTTGGACATTTTCCTATTTCAATGGATTCACGAATGGTACGTTTGGTTCTGTATTCGATGCTAGCCAAGACCCTTGTTTTTTCAAAGTCAATTTCCCAATATCGCCAGCAATAGCCAACTTATTTATGGAAGACATAGAAGTACGAGCAATCGAAACGGCAACACTAAAATCAAAGTTATGGCTACGGTACGTAAAAGACACATTTGTCATCTGGACCCAAGGAGAAGAGAAACTGAAGAAATTCCTGGACCAGAATTTCCAAAAGGATTAAGTTCACAATGGAAACCGAGAAAGAACACCAATTACCTTTTCTGGATGTCTTCATAATCAAGATAAATAATGGCACACGCCCAGTCTCACCACCACCCGTCACAACTGCAGTCAATCATTAAGACACTTGTCACGCAAAAGGCTGGCGGATGATGACCACAAGAAACAAGAAGACCTGAAATTCCAAACGACGCTACAGCAAAACGGATTCTCCAAAACCATCATCAAAAAGGCTCTTAGACCACGACGCCGGTTAAATACCACGAAGGCCTTCCTTCCCTAAACAAGGGTCTTGGCTAGCATCGAACACAGGACCAAGAAACCTCAGCACAAGAGACGATACACAGAGACTACCAACTGCATAAAAACCAGCTCTTACAACCACCAAAACGCCACGCAAATTAACGATATCAATGTTTTGCTTTAGGTTTTCACGGGCGTTATATGTATTGATGGTTAGGCATCTGCTCTGTGTTGTCGGTTTATGGTTCTTAAAAGAACCGTATGTCTGACATACATACATGACGGTACAATCTCATGTACCCTCTTATCTGCTGGGCTGCTGTTGTTGCTCTGCTGCTTTAGATTTCCATTGGCGTTATATGTATGAACTTGCAGCAGAGCAACAGCAACAGCAGCCCAGCAGATAAGACCTGAAGATGGTACATGAGATTGTACCGAAACGTCGTCAGACATACGGTTCTTTTAAGAACCAAAAACTGACAACTCGGAGCAGATCCCGGAAAACCATTAATATATATATATATATATATATAGGTATATATATATTTATATATATATATAAATATTTATATATATATATATATATATATATATATATTTATATATATATATATATATTAGGGTGTCCCTTTTTTTTTACGCATAACGTATAACCTCTAATTATATTTATTACGTGTTTATATACTCCCAGTAAAAATTTCAGCTCATTCTATAAACGAGAACCCGTGCCGACTTGCATCTGAACCCTCCGTTAGCCAACGTTAGGCGCGCGGTTGGTCGCGAGGTCTTCGATCGTAAGTCATTTTGTGTTTGTTATTATGTGACCCTTATATTATAAATTATTGACAAATGTTAAAATATAGTTTTATTTATGTGTATACTTTGATAAAAATGTATATTTTTACAGGGAGTGGCTAGTTACCCGGAAGGGTCTGGTGAATAGGCCGTAAACTCTGAAATTGATAAACTTAATGGGTTTTACTCTAAATAACTAAAAGAGTCTATTGTGAGAGATGACTACCGAAAACCTATTAAACTGTCTGAAATATTTTTGGGAGGACATCAAGAAAAGAAATGCTTATAAAAAGCTGAAATTTCATATAACAGTATATTTTAGCAATACTAATTATATTAATATATTTAAGGGATAAAATCAACTAACTTAGTGAAACAAATGATAAAAACAAAAGCAATAATATTAATTAGTAATAATATTTAATAAAATCATTAGAAAAATACAGTCATGAAATATATCTTCTTTTTAAAGTGTTTCGTGTTACAAAATACCGCGCGCCTAACGTTGGCTAACGGAGGGTTCAGATGCAAGTCGGCACGGGTTCCCGTTTATAGAATGAGCTGAAATTTTTACTGGGAGTATATAAACAAATAATAAATATAATTAGAGGGTATGCGTAAAAAAAATAAAAATAAGGGACACCCTAATATATATATATATATATATATATATATATATATATATATAAATATATATATATATATATATATATATATAAATATATATATATATATATATATATATATATATAAATATATATATATAGCGAATTGCTGTGGTCATTTTCACTAGAACACATGTTAAGCTTATTGTTGCGCATTAATTTATAAAAAAAATACATTTAAGTGTATATCTCCACAACGGCTACATACGCGATTTTAATTTTTCTTACAAAGTAAAGCTAATAATATCACTATTTAAAAAAAAATGTTTGGAAGATTATATATTTTTTAAGTTGAAAACGCCAAATGTACCAACGTGAATGGACTGTAAAGGAACGCGTCTAGTAAAAACAAAAACCGTATATTGTATTGAAGAAAATATAAAAACAAAATTCCTCAATGACGACCTTAATTCACTATTATCTATACTTTCCAAATTTCCCAAGATGTTTACGACAGGCAACGCTGTTCGAAAAGTGACTACAACAGAATTGGCAATCAAGTTAAAGGAATATAAATTAGTATGTTATCAGCCTTACCGATTAGTCCCTGTAGAACGAGAAAAAGTGTTTAATATGGTTCAAGATCTTATACGCAATGAAATTATTTATGAAAGCAGCTCTCCATTTGCAAGTCCTTTTTGACTTGTAAAAAAAGGACGTAACAGACCGACTTTGTGTGAACTACAGGGCCCTTAATCAAAATACTATAAAAGATAAATTATCTTTTCTGCTGATAGGACATCAACTGGTAATGTCAAATATTACACCACTTTAGACATGGCCTCGGGCCTATAATACCGATAGCCGAAGAATCTATTCCAAAAACAGCATTCGTTACTCCAGGCGGGCAGTTCGAGTATCTGCGAATGCCCTTTGGGCTGGCAAATGCCCGATCTGTATTTCAGGGAGCAGTAAATAATGCCCTTGGTTCTTTAAAATATGAGGGAATTTTATTGTACTTTGATGACATTATCTAGAATCCTAGAATATTTTGGCCGTTACATATTGTCAGACGCTATACGACCTGGAACCGAGAAAACTGAAGCTCTTATCAACTCGCCGATACCCACCAATGTGAATCAACTAAGACAATTTTTGGGTCTCGCCAACTACTTTAGAAAATTCGTGCCTGAATATGCAGCCAAAACCGCCTGTCTCACAAAATTGACGAAACAGAATGAAAAATTTATTTGGACATCCGAGCATGATGAAGCCCGAACCTACGTGATTAATTTCATTGCCGAGAAACCATTATTACAAGTTTGACCCACAGTTAATTACGGAGCTTTACACTGACGCGAGCTCCATAGGTTATGGTGCGATACTATTTCAACGCCATAATGAAGGCTTATAGTCGTGTCATATTTTAGCCGCCGCACTACGCCTGCCGAAAGTAGGTATTCATCTTATTAACTGGAAACGGTTCCTGGGGATTACATTTAAAATCGTCAGGTACTGCAATTGAATTAAATCTACAATGAATAATAAGGACCTAATTCCCCGTGTAGCCAGACTTATTTACAAGATTTCAAATTTTCTGTCGAGGCAAATACGTACCACACGTTAACTTTTTAAGTGGGAATTCACAAGCAGTCACGGCTGGTGGATTTTGGGCACACCCATATCTCAGTTATTAGACATGGGACCCACATCAAATTATATATATGAGTTTATAATGACATTATATAGAGAAGTTCTGCGCAAGCGGAATTTAAATTGAAGTTTTCGAAAAAAAGTTAGTTTTTAAGTGTGCCCCCCAGCCTCATGCCCCCCAATTAAGATAATTTAAATTAAATTGGTACATTATTTAACTCCCTGAAGTTTATCGACAAATATCAATTTTTATTAAAAAGTATTACCATTTCTATTTTTTTTAAATTTAGTGAAAAAAATAGTAAAAATTTAAAATGATATAAAACCTGTAATACTTGAATTTTTTTAATAAAGTTTGAAATTTGTCGATAAACTTCAGTGAATTAAATATTGTACAACTTTAATTTGAATTATCTTAATTTGGGGGGCAGGAGGATGGAGGGCACACTTAAAAACTAACTTTTTTTTCGCAAACTTCAATTTAAATTCTGCTTGCGTCCCATGTCTAATAACTGAGATATGGGTGTGCCCAAAATCCACCAGCCGCCACTGTTCACAAGTAATGACGAACAATTCAGAGTCATGGTTGAAAGCTGCACAATCTAAAGAGTCTTTAGATTGTGCAGCTTTAGTAAAGATGCTGAAACATAAGATCTAATTGAGTTTATATAAAACCCCTACAAAAACTACTTGTAATAAAATTTTTTGGTAACAGTGCGCCATTTTCAAGGCATAATAATAAATTTTTTAATTATCTTCTTAATTTTAGCTTTTATGGAACCAGATCATCTATCAAAACGATTCAAGAGAAATGCTATTTTTCATTTAAGAAATAAAAGAGAGGCACCATACACAATATATCCTGAAATATTGGTAATTGTAGATTATGATGGATATAGGTTACACGGTGGTGATAATCTTCAAATAAAACGGTACTTTGTCTCATTTTGGAATGGAGTAGATTTGCGATATAAATTACTTAAAGGTCCAAAAGTTAGAATTTCAATTGCAGGAATAATTATAAGTAGAGTAAGTACAAACCATTTAATATAATAATTTAGTAAATGGGGTTTAATCATCAATATCTACTTACAGTAGAGTATACATCAATACAGAACAAAAAAAACGTGGTTTCAGTACGCTATTTTGTTTATTAATCAATTTAAATTGTTATTAACTTATTGTAAATTGTTTTTAATTTGTTGGATATAAAACCCTAACATTGTTTAATAAAGATATATCTATATATAGTTTATCACTAGTTAATCTATAATTAATTACGAGACCACCAGTCACAAAGTTCACAAAGAGTAACTAAATAGTCGTTATACTTTTCGCTTCTGAAGTTGCCAACTTTGTTGTTCGAGCACTTTGTGATTTGTTTTAAATAATAATAATTATAGAACAATTAATAATGTAGCAAATATTGAGGCAAGCCAAAATGTCATACCCTATAGTAATTTTTATTAATTTAGTTTACCTACAGGGTGATTCTTAACCAATACGCTAACGAGTCCTTAGTAACGAGCCGATGTTTTAAATAATAATCCAAAAGTCGAGCTTTTAATGGAATTTTATTTGGATCACGACTTTGGAAACCTGTAGTCCAATATTATTAAATCTATACGGTTATAAATGTCCTACGTTAATAAACAGCGGTAGTCAAATTTCAGCTATTTCTATGGAAGTGACAAACTTTCACGATATCATTCCGCATTTTCCTCTTACCATTATATGCGTAGTAGGCGCTTTTAAATCAAAATTTCACCAAATAAACTTACAAACCCTCTTAGACTTTTCTTTAAATGATTATAAATTTACCCACAATTTTTTATTGATACCAGACTTAAATTATCCTCTTATTTTGGAAGTAAATTTCTTGGTACAGCATAAAATAAATATAAATTTGATTAAAAAATTCTTGGCAATAAAAAGTTATTTAAAATTCTAGTACGATTCCATCCATAATCTTGCTGGAAGTTTTGTTGAGGACTTGGGTACCTAACGTATTGACTAAGTGTAATTTAACGAAAAAATTTAATTACCCGGTTTTTTGAAATATTTTTTATTAAACCTGTTTGAACCAACTCATACAAACTAACAATTAAATCCAAAGATTGCACTATGTAACAACAATCGAGAAGTTTGTGTTTATCTGCAACTTGTCAATGTTTATGATCAATTAGGGCTAACTAATCACATTTATATCAATAGTTGATTTAAACTATTAGTTTTAGGTACAGGATATCAATATATTGAGTAGTCAATTTTATATACTCTGACTAATTTTAGTAAAAATAAAAATTGTTGCGCCGCAAAAAAATAAAAACAATTTACTTTATTAAACTACTGCAATGTACATCAAAATAACCCTACACAATGATAATAAAAAAATATTTTTATACCCACAAAATGTCATTAACTGTAAAAAAAAATTTCGTTGAAAAATATCGACCCACCCCTTTTTGCCTGGTCAATTTGAGATGGAAAGACCCAGTAACCCATGGACTGGCCAAATGGGTGTACTTTCCAGAGAGAGAAATAGGAGATTAAATGTGTCGCCAGATAAGCAGCTAACTTCGGAGCCCCAATCTACTAATGCTGGAAAATGAAATTCCTTAATTTTGATTTGTACGGTGGGTGACTAGCCTGTGCCGTGGTAGGGATTTCATCATCTTCCTCATTTATGAGGTCAGATGAAAGGTTATCACAATAGAAAGTAGCCCTGGGAGTAGTGTCCACCTCTGGGCTTGGAAGGTGTACACTTAATAGTTTCCAGGGAGGGGAAAGGACTCCGCACCGTCTTTGTTTACCGTATCCTTTTTTCCGATAGAATTGTCAATATTTAAGGCTGAGACGGTATGTTTGGGTGAATTGAATTTATGATTGTTATTGTTTGGTTATTAAAGTTTCTAGTCTGAGCTGAGGGTTGGTTAGAAAATGAACTTCTTGAAAAACTGGAATTTGTGGGAGGTTTATCTGGAATTTGTGGAAGGTTTATCTGAATGAGGTTTCATGATATAGTCTGCCTGTTCTAGCCTGGCATGAGTTGAAAAGTGTCTGGCAATAATGCTAATAACTAGAGAGTCAGGATAAGGGGGGTAATATATCGAGCCTTTGCCACTAACTTTAAGAAATAATTGACTTACATTATATTTACCCATATCCAATGGGTTTCGTACTTCTAGTTGTTTAAGCTCACCCCAAAAATGTGACAGAAAAACGGTTTTGAATGAATTAAAGTTTTCATTATTTCGGTCCATTCTGGAAGTACGCAAGATTTGTTCCAACCGTTCGATGAATTCTACCGGATGTACATTTTTTTCACCAAAAATGGTCAGATTTTTAACAATTTTCCAACGCTAAAAATATAGTTTGCTGTATTGCTAATTTTGTGTATTATGGTTATTAGCAGCCTGGGTTACAAAAGCATTATTCTCACGATAAAAGTTGTTTGCTGAATCATTTGTGAGGTTATTTTCAAAATTAGAATTTGTATAAACGTTTTTTTTTATCATGTTAGTTGTACTTGTGGTATTTGTGGCTGGACAACTTTCATGGCGGTACAGATTAGAGGTTAAGTAGTTATTACGGGAAAGGGGGTTCTGTGTTAATTGGAAGCTCTAAATTTAATTTAGTTTGGTGTTTGCGTTCTAGCAAGCCATTTTTGTGCATCTGGTTGTTATTTAACATGCTGTTGTCATCTACTTGTGGAAACCGAAGCGACAAGCCAGGATTTAGAAAGTGATTTTGCATATTTTTAACTACAATAACTTTTTGAGGGGTTGCCATGGAATCTGCAGGCTCAGTTAGTGGGCGAAGCAAACACATTAGTGTAAATTGAAGAGTACTTAGCTTATTTGTGATGTTGTCCACATCATCCATGCTGGTCTATGTTTTTTCCATTGGTCTATTTTTAATCGTCCCAGTGCCTTGTAAGTTTAGTGCCCATGCTCCTTCCGTCTCTGACTCGTCGTTGGATTTGTCGTCGTGCGTCTTGCTTCGCGTTTGATATTTCTTCGACGGTGTTCTTTTCATGGTGTGATTTGTTTGCTTGTTTGTTCACTAAACAATGCCCCGTTGCAACATCTGGCTAAAAACGCGTTGGTAGTTGAGAAATAGAATAAAACACGTCCCAATAATTTATTTTATTACATAAAAGTTAATATTACATCCAAACTTAACTAGAACAAAGAACTTTAGAATTCAATAGAGTAGAACCATCAAAACAAACTTATCCGCAGTTACAGAAAGCCCTTCTTCAAACAGAAAACGGTTAATAGTTGAATGATTAACCCGCGTAATAAAATAAGTGTGTTCAATTAGCAAGGTGCAAAATTCCGCGTGCTCTTTGACAGCCTTCTCAGGTGGCGTACGCGATCAGTCGGTAGCGAGACGGCGCGGTATTCAAAATAGGAGGCAGGGCCGAAGCGGCCCTATTTTACCACAATACTAAAAGGATACGTAGATCTTACAGATATTGCTGACAACTAGATATTGCTAGACAACTAGATATTGCTGACAACTAGAATTTATCCGTACTTACAAGACCTATCGCAACATTTTATACATTGCTCACACTTATTAAGTAAACATTTTGGATCTAAACAGATTTTAACACGCACCCAGTAATTATGGACATTTTCAGTTTTTTTACATAAAATTTTAAAAACAAAACAGTATTTTTTTATTTATTGTACAAATGGAACCATTTAAAAGTTTTATACTTGCATAGTAATCTATCTTTTTAAATTATCTACTGCTGAGACGCGTCTGTAGAAGCACTACGAAACCCTTTGCGCAAGTCCTCTACAACAAACCAATAAGTAGGTAACACATATTTTATTCTGGATGCTCCTTTAAACTTCAGATTTAATTTCTTACTGGTACCTGAGTTAACTTCCCTAGTAATTGGCACTGATACTAAATTACTGAAACAATAATGTTTCGTCTCTTTTCTATTTTTATTATACCGCTTCTTCTGTATAATATATTTACCAAACACATCTCTCTATAGTATAGAATCTATAACCTTTAAAAAAATACAAATCTATGCTAAATCGTTTAACTAAAGATTATTTTACTTAGTACGGGCAGTAAAAGAATTTTACACTAAAATGGAACTTAGTTTACTAAAAATCTTTGGAAAAATATCATTGAAAGTTGGTTTATTCTTCGGTGCGCCATGCCTTTGCCATTCAGATAACCACAACGAGAGGGGCACTTTCCATGCTTCTCATTTAAAATTTTTATTATATCCGTTTAGAATAAACATAGTTTATCACTAAACAAAGGAGTGCACATGTAAAAAACCTTTATGTTTTATTAAATACTTAAACATTTAGGTATTGTTATATACAGCCCGTTCAGAGTAAAACCGAATATAGGAAAACTTTTTGGACGTGGCCTCGCCTCCCTCCAACGCGCGACACAGTAGCTAAACAAATAGCCTGCATCGCTAATGAGATTTTTTGCATTATTATCATTTAATTTTTAAGGCCGTCTTACCTCGACCTTTCGTCATGTCGTTTATCACACAAGCTACTGTGACGCGCGTTGGAGGGAGGCAAGGCCACGCCCAAAACGTTTCCCTATATTCGGTTTTACTCTGAACGGGCTGTATTTAAAACTGCCGAGTGAATGTTTTCTTTTTTATATTAAACAAAGAACGATATCGCCGCCTCATTACTGATCACTTTATTTTAATTGTTCACGAGAACAACTACTGGCTTTTAATTGCATTTACATTATATAATTACTTGATAATGTGATGTTACTCTTTTTTTTATAGGTAAGTCGTTTTTTTATTTGTTGTTCATATTTTTTTTTTATTTTACAATAATTTGCAGCTAGGTGCCACCTGACCGGTTTTACATTATAAGCTCGGTTTTTTTAATAAATAATATTTGAAAATAATAAAGTTTAAAATTTTTTATATATATATATATATATATATATATATATATATATATATATATATATATATATATATATATATATATATATATATATATGTCATGCTTTAGGTT